TTTTTTTTCTAAATTACTGGTACTTATTTTCATTTTCAGAATTGTCTTAGAGTTGAGGATATCTTGTATTTTGATACCTTCTCTTTTAGATGGTATCCTTTAAAGGAGAGTAATGCGTTGTAAGTTCATTCAATAACTATTTTAAACACATTGAATTTGAATTTTAAAAATCATGTGTGTGAAGTTCACAACAGTTTATGATTTGCAAATGCCTAGGAGTAGTACATAGATCAAAGTTCACAAAGAAAAGCTGTCGTGGAACCTATACTGGATTACTCAAATTACTGGGCATAATGGTCAGATCATCACATTAATCCCCATCCCTCTTCTTAATATTGTCCGGATTTAGTGACTGACACAGGGTTTTGATTTGTAATTGGACTTATTGAACACTTACAAATTATAACTGCACATAATTATAATGCTGTCTCTAATTTGCACACTCTGCTTCTCACTACTGCACTTGATAAGCCTTCTGTATCTCCACTGGTTGTGTTCTGGTAACGGATCCCAACAGTGCCTTCTGTTTATATCCTTACCAGCTGGCTACCATCTCACAGCTAATTCGTGCCCACAACTGTCTCATGATGGTGACTACGTTGTATAGTTCACACTTGCTCTGTAGCCTTGGGTTGGGTCAATTGAAAGCACCACTTCCAACAGCCTTTTCTGTTGTTTAGTGCATATCTATTGCCATGGGAACCAGCTGCTGTGTATATACTGACCATTACCACACAACGAATGATTTCTTCTGGCTCCATTGTTATAACTCTTAGGTGTCAGATCTCAATATCAACAACTGATATAGTTATTACTTTCAAAGAGACAATAACATATTTGAATTCTGCACTTGAGGACTCTTTGTGTACTTGAAACATATCCAAAAAAATATGCATTGTTATTTCAAGCCTAAAGTTGATGTTGTGACTGTGTGTATGGCAGGGAGGCAGTATTAAATGGTTTGCACAAGAAGGCACGATACCACAAGGTGGCTCTGGTGAGGCTTGTTGGAATGATGTTGCTTGTGTTCGTGCAGGAGCAGCATGCAGCTTATGTCAGAGCTGTAGCCACAGAGACTGTTGGCACGGGCATTATGGGTAAAATGGTATGTGCTAAATGAACTTGTAAGTAGAGAAACTGAATTTGATTTTTAGTTGAATTAAATAAAGTAGGTGAGATAACGTGCATGGAAGAAACAAATGCATACACAACTTCGTAAATGGAAATAGACTAAATTAATAATAAAATGGGTCTTGTGGAAGTCAGTTGTAAGGCTGTCAACTGATTTGAATTGGTCCCACATAGGATTAATTTACAGTTATATGTGATGGTAACTTTGGGTTTCAAAACACAGGATTTCTTAACAATTGAGTACATGTGCTGCTCTGAAAGTACCCTATAACTGTGTATTTGTATGTGATTGTTTCAGGGCAACAAAGGTGGGGTTGGCGTGCGCTTTGACCTCCACAGTACTTCATTATGTTTTGTTAACTCACATCTTGCTGCACATGTAGAGGAATATGAGCGTAGAAATCAGGACTACCATGACATCTGCTCACGGATGAGTTTCACACGTTTCTTGCCTCCTAAGGGCATCAAGGATCATGAGTAAGTGCAGCAGAGTGTTTTCTCAGTCTTGTTTCTGAATTTTGGAGTTCACATCCCAGGAATTTTTGGCGACATGTTATCATTCTGGAGGACAAACCCGTAACAGAACTTCATAATTGGCAGGGGGAATTACCTATAATCACTTCAAATATAATATATTCTTGCTTATCTACCAGTCTGTGGATTATCCATACTTTTCCCCCCTTATAATTTGTGTTACTTGTTGAATTGTTAAGGGTTTATAAGTATGAGCATTGTCATGTAATGTTCTTTTTACCAAGCTTTTGTCTCTCTCACCTTATCGTTCTTTAAGGGATATAGACTCTACTTTTCTGCAATTATACTTGCAATTGAAAAATGTTTTTATGGTATTAAAGTGGGCTGTTTGTAATATCAATTATCTTTAGTCA